CCCTTCTCTGGAGGTTTCCCAAACCCGCCTGGATGCAGTCCTGAGCGATGTGCTCTGGGCAGTCCTGCTTTAGCAGGGGAGTGGGGTGGGTGAGCTCTGGAGGTCCCTTCCAGCTCTGAAGATTCTGCGATTCTGTGATCCCAAAAAACACCTCCGAGGCGGCAGGGCGAGGGGCGGCCGGCCATGAAGGTGGTGCAGGGGACGCGGGGACGGTGCGGCGACGGCAGAGCCGCCAGCGGGAGGCTGAGGGACCTCCTTCAGTCTGTCGAGTTTGGGCTCAAGAAACCTGCCCCGCACCCGCTGGGGAAAAGCTGGAATAACGTTTTTTTTCCCAAAGATACCCACTTTTTCGTGCCTTTGAAAGTCGCGTTGTGAGACACACGTGTCATTAGCTGCCGGAGAGCCCCCAGGGAGCTGCCGGGTGACCCTCACTCCAGGTAAAATACGGGTGCGAATAAGGGAAGGCGGCACTGAAGGATTTCGCCGTACTCAATAAACCATTGCGAGGAGGAAATCCGGCTGGTTTCTACATCTGGCCCTGCTCAGCTGTGCGAGTGCTGCCACGGTCCCGGCTTCTCTCCCGAGAGAGGACAGTGGGGTTTGTTCAAAAGCCCTGGCTGTGCCCACGTGGGAGCCACCGCTGTCTCCGTCAACGTCCACTTCTGCTGCCCGATGCTCACAGAGCTGCCTTTGTTGGTGGCAGAGTGTCTCAGCTCAGAAGAACTCACTTGGATCTCGGAAAAAGAGCGTCCGACAAGCTGTGGGACTGTGTTTGTTTGAGTACAACCGGAGGGATTGTGTACCAAATCGAAGGGAAAACCGGGAGTTCAGCCAGCCGCAGCGCTGAAACGTGACGGTCGCTCGTCACCGTTCTGTTCCTAACCCAGCGCCACGGAGATCCTCCCGGGTACGGATTGGAGAGAGTCTACGCTACGAACGCATTTCTGAGTGAAAATCATCATCTTGCAATGACAGGAGTGTGTCCCAGCGCTTAAACCCGGGAACATACTAAAGGGAGGGTGTCAGGGGGATGGGAACTGCATCTGGGGAGGAGTGACCCCACGCACCAGTACAGGTTGGGGGTGACCTCCTGGAGAGCAGCTCTGTGCAAAGGGACCTGGGAGTCCTGGTGGACAACAGGAAGACCATGAGCCAGCAATGTGCCCTGGCGGCCAAGAAGGCGAATGGCATCCTGGGGTGCATCAAGAAGAGTGTGGCCAGCAGGTCGAGGGAGGTCTAGCAGCAACCTCCCAATGTGGATATGAGTTAGAAAAAGGAATCCTGAAAGAAAAGGTATCTCTAGAAATCTTACCTATCTAAAAAATTGAGTTTATTTACTTGCACAGGAATTGTGATATCTTTAACAGAGCCCATCCAGACATGGGTATTAATATTTTCTGTAAGTTTATAACGCACAATGAAACGTGAGGCTATTATAATTCCCCACTAAAATCTGAAAATATTTGTTCTGAAAGAGAAGAACAAAACCTATGTTTCCCTTTTTTCTTCCATGGAATTATTTGAGACATTAACAAATTATGATTTGAAATTAGACATTTTACTCCACTTTATTCTTGAAGTAAACTATGGTGTCTTTTCAAGCAGTGTGAATCACTGAACGTCAGTAGAACTATTCGGCATTCAGGACAGAGGAAGGCACCTAATCCCCTTAAGGTAATTCTTCAAGTTTCTGCCAGCTCCTTTCAACATGAAGCCTACAAATATCACAAAACCTTTGCTAGCACTTTGGATTTAGGACTTGAAGATCAGTTAGCTGCCACAAATACATGTATTTTGATAAGGATGATGGAGAATAGAATGGGTGGGATTCAGCACAGTGGTACCACAAAGGAGTGCACAGCTTTGAAAAGACTGTACTAGTTGAAGTGCAGTCTTTGCATAATATGCAGAAGAACTTGCATATTATGAAGCAATACCATGGCC